TAAAGGATTTTGATGCTAGCTTCAAACTGTGGTGGCTAGACAGTGAACTCCCATGAAAGCACACTAAATAAAGCCCCTAATCAATCTTCTTCAGGTTGAGGGCCATATACCATCAGGATGTGATATTTAATCCACTAAGTAACTTGTTATTTCATTGATCTTATTGAGACTGGGGATCACACAACACCAGAATGAGAGGTAGAATTGTGCAGTTTAATTAATTGATGCATGTTTGGGCTGAGGATCCCTCACCACAAGAATGTTGTTTAATAAATGATCTTCAGACTGAGGGCCATCCTATGATCCTATGACTCACCTATACGAATGTTAAGTTTTTTTAATTAATTAATCAATTAATCTTCATACTGAAGTCAACACAAACCCTGGACTGTGAGGTAGAGATGTGCAATTTAATTAATTGATCACATCTCTTCAGGCTAAAGGCCATACAGTATGAATAGCTGGTGTTTAATTCATCAATCAATAAATTCATCTTCATCTTGAGGGCCACACAACAGCGGAATGTGAGACAGAGGTGCAATTGAATTGATTCATTAACTAATTAACTTTATTCATCAATCAATTGGAAGTCAGCGGATTATAGGAGTTGTCTTCATAAACCTGTCAGCAGCTTATGATACTGTAAATCATCACCTCCTCCTGAGGAAAGTGTATAATACCAACAAGGGTTACCACATCACCTACTTCATAGGAACTCTGCTACAAAACAGGAGCTTTTTTGTTGAGTACCAGAGTTAGAGAAGCAGATGGTGAAAACAGAACGGATTGCCTCAGCTGATTGTGCTTGCTCCATCAATGTTTAACATTTACACAAATGACCAGCGACTGCTAGAAGGGACAGGGAGTTTCATCTATGCTGATGATCATGCAATCACTGCTCAAGCAGGGAGCTTTGAAATGGTTGAACAGAAGCTCTCTGAAGCTTAAGGTGCTCTTACTGCCTATTAAAGGGGAAACTAGCTAATTCCCAATGCATCTAAAATGCAGACGTATGCTTTTCATCTTAAGAACAGACAAGCACCTCAAACTCTGACGATTGCCTGGGAAGGAGTACTGCAGCACACCAAAATACCTGGGAGTCACTCTGGACCGTGCTCTGACATACAAGAAGCACTGCTTGAATATCAAGCAAAAAGTGGGTGCTAGAAATAATATCATATGAAAGCTGACTGATACAACCTGAGAATCACAACCAGATACAGTGAAGATCTCTGCCCTTGCACTTTGCTACTCTGCTGCTGAATATGCATGCCCAGTGTGGAATACATATCATCATGTTAAAACAGTGGATGTGGCTCTTAATGAGACATGTTGCATTATCACAGGATATCTACACCCTACGCTGCTGGAGAAATTATACTGTTTAGCCCAAGACTGGACAAAACTGGGCCCTCCAGGTGTTTTGGACTTCAACTCCCAAAAATTCCTAACTGCCTACTGGCTGTTAGGAATTGTGGGAGTTGAAGTCCAAACACCTGGAAGGCCCAAGTTTGCCCAGGCCTACACTAGAATACAGTTTTTAATTAACAAGTTAAATTTCTTGAGGCTTAAAACCACACCCCACCGGAATGTAGAGTTATATCTTTGATTCACATCATTAATTACTCCATCTTCATGAGGTTGAGGCACGAGTGTTAACAAGTGCTGAAACTGACTCAGAAGATGGTTTTGAAAGGCTGTAGATTACAGGAGCAGTCTTCATAGACTGTCAGCAGCGTATGACACTGGTAAATCATTGTATTCTCCTGGGAAAAAATTATAATATCAAAAAGAACTACCACCTCACCTGCCTCATAGGAAATCTGCCACAAAACATGAGCTTTTTTGTTGAGTCCCAGGGCCAGAGAAGCAGATGGTGAAAACAGAAGAACGGCCTGCCTCAGGGGGAGCGTGCTTGCTCCATCAATGTTTAACATTTACACAAACAATCAGCAACGGCCAGAAGGGGCAGAGAGTTTAATCTATGCTGACGATACGTGCCATCACCGCTCAAGCAGGGAGCTTCTAAATCAGTGGTTCTCAACCTTCCTAATACCATGACCCCTTAATACGCTTCCTCATGTTATGGTGACCCCCAACCGGAAAATTAGTTTCGTTGCTACTTCATAACTCATTTTGCTGCTGTTATGAATAGTAACAGATTGGGGGAGGGTATTGATTTTGTCCTGTGGGAGTTGTAGTTGCTGGGATTTATAGTTCACCTACAATCAAACAGCATTCCGAACTCCACCAACGATGGAACTGAATCAAACTTGGCACACAGAATTCCCATGACCAACAGAAAATACTGGAAGGGTTTGGTGGGCACTGACCTTGAGTTTTGGGGGCTGTAGTTTACCTACATCCAGAGAGAACTGTAGACTCAAACAATGATGGATCTGGACCAAACATGGCACGAATTCTCAGTATGCCCAAATGTAAACACTAGTAGAGTTTGGGGGAAACAGACCTTGACATTTGGGAGTTGTAGTTGCTGGGATTTATAGTTCACCTACAATCAAAGAGCATTCGAACCCTACCAAGGATTGAATTGGGCCAAACTTCCCACATAGAACCTCCATGACCTCCATAAATAAATAAATAAATAAATAAATGACCAACAGAAAATACTGTGTTTTCTGGTGGTCTTTGCTGACCCCTCTGACACCCCTTCGCGACCCCTCCAGGGGTCCCAACCCCCAGGTTGAGAAACACTGTTCTAAATGGTTGAACAGAAGCTCTCTGAAGCTGAAGGTGCTCTTACAGCTTATTATAGGGAAAACTAGCTAATTCCCAATCCATCTAAAATGCAGATGCGTGCTTTTAATGTTAAGAACAGACAAGCACCTCAAACTCTGACGTTTACCTGGGAAGGAGCATTGCAGCGCACCAAAATACCTGGAAGTCACTCTGGGCTGTGCTCTGATATACAAGAAGCACTGCTTGAATATCAAGCAAAAAGAGGGTGCTAGAAATAATATAATATGAAAGCTAACTGACACAACCTGAGGATTACAACCAGATACAGTGAAGATCTCTGCTCTTGCGCTTTGCTACTCTGCTGTTGGGTATGCATGCCCAGCGTGGAATACAAATCACCACATTAAAATAGTGGATGTGGCTCTTAATGAGACATGTTGCATGATTAAAGGATGTCTACGTCCAACGCTGCTGGAGAAATTATACTGCTAGGAACTGTGGGAGTTGAAGTCCAAAACACCTGGAGGGCCCAAGTTTGCCCAGGCCTGCACTAGAATGCGCTGTTTAATTGACAAGTTTTCTTAAGGCTTAGAACCACACCCCAGAGAAATGTGGAGTTATATATTTGATTAATTAATCCCAAAAGTGCCTCAAGAGCGCCCCTGGGCAAAATCAACTATACTGCAAATGCTTACTTTGCGTAATGCGTTGAGCCATCCCTGTCCGCAGGTTACTGTGAAGCCCTATTCTTGATCTGCATCTTCTCCCACAGTGAGGGCATTGGTTTCCAGGTGGAAGGCGGTCCCAGTTGGGGTTGGCTTGATGCGCCTTCCTCTTGGCACATTTCTCTCTTTCGCCCTCCATTCGTGCACCTTCAAATTCTACAGCACTGCTGGTCACAGCTCACCTCCAGCTGGAGCACTCAAAGGCCAAGGTTTCCCAGTTCTCGGTGTCTATGCCAGAGTTTTTAAGACTGGCTTTGAGCCCATCTTTACATCTCTTTTCCTGTCCACCAACATTCTGTTTTCCGTTCTTGAGTTCGGAGTAGAGCAACTGCTTTGGGAGATTGTGGTCAGGCATTGCAGTGGAACCCTCTGCCCTGGAGTGTGGTGGAGGCTCCTTCTTTGGAAGCTTTTAAACAGAGGCTGGATGGCCATCTGTCGGGAGTGCTTTGAATGCAATTTTCCTGCTTCTTGGCAGGGGATTGGACTGGATGGCCCATGAGGTCTCTTCCAACTCTTTGATTCTATTTTTCTATGACGGTGGTCAGGCATCCGGACAACGTGGCCGGTTGATGGCAGAGGTCCATCGCTTCAATGCTGGCAGTATTTGCTTCTTCCAGCACACTGACATTTGACAAGCTTGTCTTCCCAAGAGATTTGCAGGATTTTCCGGAGGCAACGACACACTGCTATTATTATATTATTAGTTGTGTCAGGAGCGACTTGAGAAACTGCAACATAATAATAATAATAATAATAATAATAATAATAATAATAATGATATCCACACTGTTGGATTAACTTAGTTTATGCGTCAGTGCTATGGGATCCTGGCAGTTTGGTGAGGCACTACCATTCATTGTGAGAGAAGACCTTAGAATCATAGAATCAAAGAGTTAGAAGAGACCTCATGGGCCATCCAGTCCAACCCCCTGCCAAGAAGCAGGAATATTGCATTCAAATCACCCCTGACAGATGGCCATCCAGCCTCTGTTTAAAAGCTTCCAAAGAAGGAGCCTCCACCACACTCCGGGGCAGAGAGTTCCACTGCTGAACGGCTCTCACAGTCAGGAAGTTCTTCCTCATGTTCAGATGGAATCTCCTTTCTTGTAGTTGGAAGCCATTGTTTCGTGTCCTAGTCTCCAGGGAAGCAGAAAACAAGCTTGCTCCCTCCTCCCTGTGGCTTCCTCTCACATATTTATACATGGCTATCATATCTCCTCTCAGCCTTCTCTTCTTCAGGCTAAACATGACCAGCTCCTTAAGCCGCTCCTCATAGGGCTTGTTCTCCAGACCTTGCCAAACTACACCTCCCAGGACTCAAATAACATTTCCATCAGCCCCTCAATTCCACAGCAACAGCTACACATTGTGGCGGGGCTTAGCTCATGCTTAGCCCCGCCCTTCGACTAATCTCTTTGTTTACTGCAAGGTCCTTCTTGAGGTGGCTGGACGAAAGACGAGCATGCGCAGTGGGTCCTCAGCCCTGTCGCGAGCCGACTGATTTGACCGTTAATTCAAATCAAGAGAGCTCGCGACAGCGCCGAGGGCTCCGTGCGCATGCTCGGCGGGGAAGCCGACGAGGAGGCGTGGCCAAGGGAGAGCACCGCCCCCGAGGAGTTTGCAGCCGCCAGTCTTGAAGTGGGAGGTGAAGGGGAAGGGTGTCTGCCTTGGTTGGAGTTCCAGGCCAACTTCGAGGCGGCTGGAAGCCTTCTTTGGCCTCTTCTCCCTCAAGCCTCCTTCTTCCATCTCTCTTGAAGCGCAACGTTGGAGAGAAACCGGTAAAAGGGGGGAGAACGCTACTTTTAAAAAGCTTTCCTTGGAAGTGGGGCTTCTTGCTGCATGTTGTTGGATGCCTGTGTTTACATTTTCCCTCTTTTACCCCTGTGTGCGTTTGGAAATAAGCTATTTTAAAAACTTTTGTTTCCACAGGTTTTGGAGTTTTAGTCAAATGTTTTGCAATCTTGAATGGTTTGATATTATATGTCAGTTTGTTTGATATTATGTTGTATTTTACTGGACTTGTTTTACTATTGTGTTGCATAGTTTAATAATACTACTACTAATAATAATAGTAATAGTAATTTTGTATTGTCGAAGGCTTTCATGGCCGGAATCACTGGGTTGTTGTAGGTTTTTTCGGGCTATATGGCCATGTTCTAGAGGCATTTTCTCCTGACGTTTCGCCTGCATCTATGGCAAGCATCCTCAGAGGTAGTGAGGTCTGTTGGAACTAGGAAAATGGGTTTATATATCTGTGGAATGACCAGGGTGGGACAAAGGACTCTTGTCTGCTGGAGCTAGGTGTGAATGTTTCAACTGACCACCTTGATTAGCATTTGATGGCCTGGCTGCGCCTGGGGCAAACTTTTGTTGGGAGGTAATTATTTATTTATTTATTTACGGCGCTTATATGCCGCCCTTCTCACCCCGAAGGGGACTCAGAGCGGCTTACAATATATATTTTCATACAATATGTTATATTATTAGCAAAGTACAATATCAGTATATATTACTATATTGCACTATACCATTATATTGTAATAATGAGGAGATTCCATCTGACCATGAGGAAGAACTTCCTGACTGTGAGAGCCGTTCAGCAGTGGAACTCTCTGGCCCGGAGTGTGGTGGAGGCTCCTTCTTTGGAAGCTTTTAAACAGAGGCTGGATGGCCATCTGTCAGGGGTGATTTGAATGCAATATTCCTGCTTCTTGGCAGGGGGTTGGACTGGATGGCCCATGAGGTCTCTTCCAACTCTTTGATTCTATGATTCTATGATTTATTTATTTATTTATTTACTTTGCTTATATACCGCTGTTCTCAGCTCAGGGGCGACTCACAGCGGTGTACAACATAGGAACAACAAAATTCAAGACATAGTATTAAAACAATTCTCGCCCCAGAGTGGCCGTTGGTGTTGGGGGAGGGGCGCTGATGTCACAGGGGACAAGATGGCAATGTCCTCCTGGCTCCCCTTCTATTGAATTATTATTATTATTACTAGTATTATATTGTATTACATAATACTATAAATATTATATGTATATACAATATACTATATTATATTATTAGTAAAGACAATAATAAGCTTGTTAAGTCACGTAAATGAACATGAAAGGCACTGCAGACTACTTCAACCAGAGAAGTCAGCCATAGCAGAGCACCTGATGAACCAACCTGGACACAGGATATTATTTGAGAACACAGAAATGCTGGACCACTCTCACAACCACCATGTCAGACTACACAGAGAAGCCATTGAAATCCACAAGCATGTGGACAATTTCAACAGAAAGGAGGAAACCATGAAAATGAACAAAATCTGGCTACCAGTATTGAAAAACTAAAATTACAACAGCACAACAACAGAGAGGAAACAAACAAGGACATCTAATCACCTCTCAACAAAAGTTTGCCCCAGGCTCTGTCAGGCCATTGTATGCTAATCAAGGTGGTCAGTTGAAACATTCACACCTAGCTCTAGCAGAGAAGAGTCCTTTGTCTCACCCTGGTCATGCCACAGATATATAAATCCTTTTGCCTAGTTCCAACAGACCTCACTACCTCTGAGGATGCTTGCCAAAGTGCAGGCGAAACGTCAGGAGAGAATGCCTCTAGACCATGACCATATAGCCCGAAAAAACCTACAACTACCCAATAGTCATTTTATTGATTAGCCATATCACAATATCAAACAAAACAACACGACTTGATAAGACTTGATCACAGTCCACGTAGTAAGTTAAAATAAGACACTTATAATAATGCAGTAAATAAATATAATATATGATAAAACTGAGTATATACATATTTCCTTATCACCCCTACAATTTACCCCGATCAGCCCCTACATATGTGATTACGTATTGTTTTGTTTAAATACAGAGCTACCAGTATTAAAAAACTCTATAATTACAACAGCACAACAACAGAGAGGAAACAAACAAGGACATCTAATCACCTCTCAACAAAAGTTTGCTCCAGGCACTGTCAGGCCATTATATGCTAATCAAGGTGGTCAGTTGAAACATTCACACCTAGCTCCAGCAGACAATAGTCTTTTGTCCCACCCTGGTCATTCCACAGATATATAAACCCCTTTTCCTAGTTCCAACAGACCTCACTACCTCTGAGGATGCTTGCCATAGATGCAGGTGAAACGTCAGGAGAGAATGCCTCTAGAACATGGCCATATAGCCCGAAAAAACCTACAACAACCCAGTGATTCCAGCCATGAAAGCCTTCGACAATACATTAAATACAGAGCTGTTTTATATGTTACTAGCTGTCCCCTGCCACGCGTTGCTATGGCCTATTGTATGTATATGTGTTTTGTGTGTGTATGTGTGTATATATGTGGTTTTGCGCATGTGATGTAATGTATTTTTTAATTTTTGTCTTTTAAGTCTATACCGCTGTGTTTTCCAGTATTTTATGAGTGATGGTCACTTGTTGGCCTGATAGGTGTCTTGTGTCCAAATTTGGTGTCAATTTGTCCAGTGGTTTGTGAGTTATGTTAATCCCACAAACGAACATTACATTTTTATTTATATAGATTTTTGGGTCTTGGCCCCACATAAAATATGTTGTTCTGATGTGAGATTCCCAATACATTGTCCGTTTGATATATGGACCAAGGTAGAAGTCTCTCACCTTTTGATACAATTTACAATCAAATACTATGTGTGCTATATCCTCAATAATATATATCCTTAATAATAATAATAATAGTAATAGTAATAATTTATTTATAACCCACCCTATCTCCCTGAGGGGACTCAAGGCGGTTTCAAACAAAAATAACAAAAAGGTAAACATTCAGTGCCGGAAATAGACAAAGCAACAAATCAGATCATGGCAATGGATAAAACAATCTTAATATGAACTTATAAAACACTAAACTAACCAAAATATAACCAGAAATTAGACTTACATAAATATAACACATCACACACATTTACGCTATTTTATCATAATTTTAATTATTTTACTATGCCATAGTTTTGAGTTTTATTTTTTCTTCCTTCTCTACATCTATATAATTTCATATACAGATCTGTATATCTATATATAATATGTACACCTGTTGATAGACTATAACAGGCATGAGCACACTTTGGCCCTCCAGGTGTTTTGGACTTCAACTGCCCTTGCGCTTTTCTACTCCAGTGTGGAATACATCTCACCATGCTAAGACAGTGGATGTGGCTCTTAATGAGACATGTCACATTATCACTGGATGTCTACACAGTATGCCGTTGGAGAAATTATACTGTTTAGCTCAGGCCTGAGCAAATTTGGGCCCTCCAATGTTTGGACTTCAACTCCCACAATGCCTAACAGCCTTGAGGCGGGTTACAAAACAATTAATGGAATATATTGGATTTTGAAATTCTAAATCAGATACTCAAATAGTAATAGAGTGAATGTATTTTGCAAGATAAACGGTTTTTATTGTTTTACTTGTAAAGAGCCATAGATCTTGATGTTGCCACATAAATACAGTAAACTCTCAGTTAACTGTAACTCAGCTAGAACTCTCAAGCAATGGGCAAAAAATCAAATAATATTGCATTCACAAAGCTGTTTTTATAATGTAAAACTGTTTCATTAAATTTGTCTTTATCTGTTTTAATTTGCTTTTAATTACTGCTTTTCAATATTGATATTAAGTCTATATAGAGTTTATGGTATTGTATGGGTTATAGTATTAGACCTATTTTTAATAGTGACTCTCAATCAAACAAAGTCCATTTATCCAGCATCTACCAGTCTCCACAGGTGTTGGTTAACTGAGAGTCTACTATCAATTATCATCCACACACATCCGTGAAAAGAGAAAGAATATTGGGTTTAAATTTCAGGAAACCTGAAGAAGCTCATCTATAATATTTTCATTTTACAGTTTTAACAGTATTCAAGATACATTTGCTGAGTATAAAGTGTGTATATTATACTATATTGGATAGGGATGCTGTGCTCTGGTTCAAATTGCCCCTGGAAAACTCTTCATTGATTCCCTAGAGTAAATTCAATAGAACAGAGTGCAGCTTACATGTAAATAAATGGAATAAAAGTTTACACTTTTGATTTGTAAAAGCAGCCCTGCTATTACAAAAGCAGCCAATTTTCTTCTTGTGTATCATGTTTGCTTTGTTTAAACAGAGCATCCAAATAATCTGAAATCAAAATGTATTGATTAATTTGACACTATTTTAATGGTGGGTTTAAATGAAGCCAATGTAAAACAATGCCTAATAGTTAGTGATTTTGAGGTTGTATTTATAAATACCTTTTCCAGGTAAGTTCTTGACTGTCCTGGAAAGGTGCAATAATAATAATAATAATAATAATAATAATAATAATAATAATAATAATAATGTATTTAAAGGGCTCTTTGTTTCAGATTCCCTGTTTGTTGTACATATGCTTTGTAAAGCTGGACTTGTCACATGTACCCATACAGAAGAAATAAGTTACATTCTCTTTAGTCTTTGTTTTCTTTTAATTTTGATGGAGGCTTTCATTTTGTTCCATAACATCCTCGTCTGAACAACATCACTAGTTACTTTTTATTTTTTATTCTGGATCAGTTGGTATGGAATGAATTCCTTCAGTTCCTATTTTCACAATAGCAAGAAGTAATTTGAATCTTTAGCTTGGGCCACTAAGGGTGCAGATTTCAAATTGGTTGTTTGTTACTTCTAATCTGAACGTTTAATCAATATGTTGTCCTTTTAACCACAATGTTTTAATCAGTATGTTGTCATGACAGTTT